TTTTTTTTTCTGTCAAAAAATGTTTTTCAGGTGTGCGTCAATCATTCCAACATATATTCCTAGGTACAGGACAGAACTGTGGCTTTTACAAAGTTCAATGTTTCTGAGTTATATTTAAGTCCTCTAAAATATGACTGGGTTTCTAATAAAGTGACATTACTGCATTTGTTTGCTCTGCTATTAATCTGACCCACTGACTAAGGAAGTATGTTTAAACAGATGTATTTATTCCATTAAGTATATTAACATTCTATGGGCAAAATGGCAGAAAAAGCCACTGTCAGGAATCAGCTTCCTCATTTCCGTGATGTCTTTATCATTAATATGAAGCCCTTACTTTGCATAGTTACTATTGCTTTTAATTCTTGCACAAGACACTTTTCCTGTAAAATATCTCCTCAGTTATATCTGTTTTTCTTAACACTTATATCTGATGTCTGCTTTGGCTTCAGGCACCTGCTGACATGTTGGTTTGTAACTTTTCTCTGGTTAAATTATATTCCCATGTTATCATTTTGGTATCTTGGGAACTTGTCAAGGAAGATAACTTCCACTTTCCAGCTTCTACCTCAGGGTATCTAAAGGATAAAAATCTTCTAGACTACCTTGAAATGTGCCCAAAGCAATGTGAAGTTAATTTAATAAAAGAAAAAAAATTTAGAGAATTTAAAAAGTATTTTCATTTTTATTATAAAAATGACCAAGATATTTAAAACAAGAGGGGAAACATCAATAAGAGAAAGTGTCAATAAAACCAAAGTATAAATATACAATTTTCAAGATTTTTAACATTTATATTTATGCTTTTAGAATTTGTGTACTTTTCTGTATGTATGTGTGTTTTTATCTTGTTCTGAGTATTGCTTAAGGAACTGTATTAAAACAGGTGAGTTATCAGGTGAAGAATTTGACTACTTTAATAGTAAGAAAGGATAAGTAACTAGTTTGAGATTTCTTATTCATCACTATTTTTCAACTACTGTGCAAATATTGCCCAAAATAAGGAGATCAGGACACAGTACCTTCTAACCAATTTTCATAATGACACTAAGAATGGTAAACCTTGTACATAATACAGGACTGACTAGAATCCAGAATGTGGCATCAATAGGTAGATTTTCTGAATAGTCATTGTCTAGGAAGACAAACTTGGCAGAGTACATTAAACACCTTCTGATTTTAATTTTCTATATTTTAGTGATTGCCTTCATAATTGTATTCATTTCAAACTTCCTCTAGAATAAATTGATGAAAATAATTTTCACTCTCAAACTAGAAGTATGATATAGGCATATTGAAATAGCACTGGAACCTTTTGAATATCTTGTAATAGAAGATATAATATAAAATTTATTATAACACACTGAAAGAGATTTTGATAGAGAGTATTTACATTTATTGGAAAAAGATTTGGGGTATTGTGAGATTTTAAAAACAGTAATATTTAATAAGCAATATTAAATTCCATTCTTAAGAAGATTTTTCAAAATAAGTATTTGCATATTCAATGGAATGAAAACTCCAAATGTAGGACTTCACCAGTTTGTTCTATATCCCCAGGTCAGAGGCAGGCTTGACACACAGTAGGAGCTTAGTAACTACTATTAACTATTGAATGAATCCAAATATAAAACAAACCCTGCCACACATTCTGAGGGCTTGTTTTGGTGAGTCCCTTTGCACTTCATTAGATTTTGAGATATTACAGATTTATAAGGGCCATACTTTATTTTGAAGAGAAATAACTGGAATACGTACTGGCATGGGGAAAAATCATAGTACGAAGTCAGATGATATGAGTTCAAGTTCTGGTTCTGTTCTCTTATTAGCTATGTGACCTTGGCCTGCTTTCACAACCATTCTCTAGAACATAGTGATCTCCTTCAAAAAATGTGGATGAAAATACCTCCTCTTTCCCATTTCCTTATGCTCAAATGATACGACAGACAAAAAAAGTGAACTGAACAGTAGTGAACAAATATTGATCAGACTTTGTGTAAGAGGCCCAAACGTATTTTTCAATTTCATAATAAATTTCCTATGTATATTTCTGCCTTTGTTTACTGTATTGTCAAAATCCCTTATCTCTAAATTAACTAAAAACACTTTGCATTGGGAATATTTGTTCCCTCCCAAAAGCATCCTGGAAGTTACCTTGAATTGGCCTACTGGATCATATATATTTATGATCATATATCAAATTTCCTTTTCCATTGTTTTTCATCCAACACCTTCTATTACTTATCACACTCTTTGTGTTGTCAATAAGTGGTTCAGCATTAAGAAGTTTGGCCATTAAGAATAGTTTCTCATCCCTCTTCAAACTCTTTGTCAACTCATTTGCTTTATAATTCATCTCATAGATCTTTAACAATAGTGACTATAACACTTTACACAAGAATTAGAGAAATTATCCATAAAAACATAAAAGGAGGTGAGAGAGAGATAATGATGAAATCATGTGTATATAAAGAACCTTAAGTGTTGTGACTAACTACCTGCAAGTGTATGTTGTACTATGTCATTGGTATACACATCCATTCTTATAGGGAAAGAAGAAAGTCTTCATTCCTGGGCATCTCTGGGAAGGTTTGCACATAGCTAAGGTGGTTTTTTTTTTTTTTTTTTTTTGGAAAGAGTTCCAAGGGCAGGCCCAAAGCCTAATAATTCCACACCATCCAGAAGAAAAATGTGTCAACAAGTCAGTAGAATGAGAATAAGATATGAGGTCACACATAATACTGAGGAAGTTAACATAGTGTCACGGAATAGCAGAGAAAAGAACATAGACATGATTAAGAGTTTGTAGGCCAACTCTAGATCTTTAACTTGTCTACTGGGGGATGCTAGGAGGAGACAGGAAGAACTGCAGAACTACATCTGTTCAGCATCTATAACACTTCCACCTTTTTGTAAAAATTGATGTTTTACAATTGTGCTGAAGCTGAGATATTTAGATATTTAGCATCCACAGATGCTAAATGGATGGAATGGTCTCTTTGGCAAAGAAATATAACTTTTCCAATCGCCTCTTTCTAAACTCACATAGTCTGTGAAATTTGCTAAATGAAGAACTATTAAGAATATTATCACAAAAGCATCTGCTTTGGCAAGAATTCTTCTAAGTCTATAGAAAATGAAGCTTCACATACAAAATATAATGAATGGTAAACTTAGCAATCTGTTACTGTGTCTATTTGCTTTTAAAAAATTATTAATATACTATATTATACACGCCAGATTTGGTTTGAGGAAATAGATTTTTATCTACTTTGAAATTTTCATTAAGAAAAATATGTCTAAAACATATCCTTAGTCAAAAATAATAAGATTTTTGCCTTTATCCTATGTAATTCTTCAACATACTTGCTTTGGCATACTACAAATAATAAATGAGAGTCCTTAATAGACAGGCTCCTTGATATTTTCATTTTCCATTTTCAGCATGCAGTTAATTATCAGGATATAGTAAATGTTTAATAAATACTAATTGAATGACCAAAATGTATAACTTGTGTATGTGTGTGTATTTAGGCAACGAAACATAAATATCATAATAAATTCCCTTGCAGTGCATAGTATACAGATATATAGTACATATATTCACATGTAAATGTAAGTATAAATAAATGTACATATATTCACATGGATATTCATTTTCAACATGTTGAACATTCCAAGTAGGAAGATAATGGATAATTGAGACCTTAAAAACTAAAGTTTTTAAGTTGGCCAGCCTTAAAGATCTAGTGAGAGGTTTTTAGAGAGACAGATCTAGTGAGAGGTTTTTAGAGAGATGTTTTAGTGCTCTAGTAGGTCATGACCTTTGAAGACTGACTTTTTGCACTAACATATTTGCCAAGATTACTTTATGCTTGGAATTTAATCCTTCCTGGGGTTTTCTACTACAGAAAGAGGAGCTAGGAAACTTTTTAAATGCAAATCGCCCAAAGACCAGGTCATTTTTGTCGGAAATCCTTCTCACCATCCCCTGGATGACAGAGGCCCACTGTTGAAACCTTTGTCCTCTGCAAGCTGGTAGAAAACGCTGTTGATTCTTGGTCATTTCCTTCAGAGGATTTAGCAAGAGAATTTCCTTCAATCAGTTCATCACTGTGAAAATAAACTGAGGTATAGAGACTCGCCCAAGAGCTCAAAGCAAGTAAATAAATGTTTTAGTTTAAGTGCATCCGGAATAACAAGCATTCTTAGACCTTGTACTTGTCCCATTGTCCTATTCTTAGGCCAACGTTTGCAAACAGCAGAGAAAACAATTGTAGATTGAGGGTTGAGGGAGAAGGGTTGGAGATGGTCATTAGCAAATCCCTGGGCCTGGTGATCACCTGCTTTCCTGGATCAAAACAGTGAAACAATCTATTCATAAGCACATCAAGGACTAATGGGCCACTGTTTAAAGAGCCAGCTGTGCAGAATATGCTCCACAGTGGCCTTGAAACAGCTGCAGCTGCATTAAGGAGGGCGGGGATGGGGGTAGAGGCGGAGCGGTAGTGGTGGAAGAGTAAGCTATAAGGAAGGCTGCAAAGACCCCGCCACGCCACCCCTCGGCAAGCCGGGAAGTATTTTTGCAGTAAGTGCATTGGACTGAGCCACCTTTTGAACCTATCCGAAAGTGTAAAAGCACATTGTAGGCCCCAGATGGATGCAGTGACTGGAAACCTTCAGTTGGCTGGTGCCCGGGAAGCTGGGCTGGCAGCTACATAGTCAGAGCTGGGCGTATTGAATTGGCGCTATCAGAAAGTACACAGAGTAGAGCAGACTCTGCTGTTGTAGCAAAGCATGACCGAGCAAAGTCCGTGGTAAACAAGCTTCCCAGTAGCTGCCTCCAGACGCACGCCCCCTGCGTGCTTCTAAACCCCGCGCTTCCCACGCTCACGGTACTGTGCTCCGCAGCCCTTGATGGCCTCTCTCTGGCCCCATTCTCTGATCACCCTATCTTTCCACCCGGGCCCGCACCCCGGCGGCTGGATCATCGCACTCACCATCTCTTGCCTGAGGAGGTGAAGCTTGGTTTCCAGCCTTTCCAGGGCGCTGGAGTGGCTACGTCGTGGGGAGCCAGAGGTTGGGGAGGACGAAGAGGAGGATGTTAAGGAGGGAGGGAAGCTGCAGCAGCTGCTGCTGCTACTGCAGCAACCACCGCCGCCGCCGCTGCAGCTCCCCCCGCAGGGGTCTCTGTCCCTTTCCCCGGGAACCGGCTCCTCCCCGCGGAGCGAGCGCACTAGGCTCTCGGGTACTTTGCGTCCCAGCTTTAGCTCGATGTCTCTGAGGTCTGGCAGCGGGCCCTCTTCCATGACTTCTCGAGAACGGTGATAATGGTGCTAAAAGACAGCGGATGAGAGCCAGCCACGGCCTCAAAGCCTGCGCAAGATCAGTGAACTCCTCTCGGCGCCCGGGTCTCTATTCTCCGCGGACCGAGGGCACGGTCCGCTCCATGACCACCAAGGCAGTGCTAACCCTGAAATCCGCACTGGACGCGGCGGGTCGCAGCCGCAGTTCCCTGGTTTGCGACTCCTCCGACACTTCCTAAGGTTATGGAGATCGCCTCATTCTCTTCCTTTCTGGCCACCCTGCTGCAGAGTTGAGTTAATTGATATTGCAGAGAGGGAGGAAAAGCAGGTACTAGAGACCAAAAGAAATGAGAAGGAAACGAAATCTGTTTTAGCGTTATGGAGAAAAAAATTCACATTATGAAACTGTCCGTTCGCATCCCTGCGCCGTTCACCGAGTGCCCATCTGGCCCCACGCGACACAAAATAATGATGTGGCCACGCTCCTAGATCGTTTCATTTTCCAGCCATATGTCTCCTAGCTTTCGGGATATCCTGGATTGTCAGAAATAATCTCTGGTCATTGAAAGAGGAAGTCGATCAGTCGTTTCTTTCCGCAGCATGAACGCTTTAAAAAGGAGATAGTTGGTTTAGCAGGACTTTGACGACTCCCTGGATGCTGCAGAAATGTCCTCTTCTCATTTAGGGTGTTTGATCCAAGTCATTGTGTTCCTCTGAGCCTCGAAACTTTAAACTCCACTGGCAGGTGGACCAAACTAGGGCCAACCCTTGTACCGTATATCGCAGATTAGAAGAGCAACAAGTTTTCTCAACCTGCCTGGTAGGAGCAGAGCTTCAACATTTTGTACTGTACTTGGGAGAACCCGTATTAGAGAATTAGGTATTCAATTTTCCCAGCCAAAACTTCTGATAGCTACAACTTTTAAAATAATTTTTGAATATTAGAAGCAGAAGAATAACTTTGGTGTTACTTTCCATTCCCAGTTTCCTAAAATCAAACATTATTTAACTTTAGAAGCCTTTCCTAATCATTTTACACTAATCAGAAAAATGAAGAGATTTAACTAACCGTTCAAAGAAAAATGTACAGTCCAAAATAATTTTCTTCCTACAATTACCGGATATCATCACAACTAAAGTGAAAAATTAAATATTCAGAATAATTCCACTGAGATAGCAGTGAAATTTTTAAGGGGGAGCTGTTGCTGAGGTACTTTTCTATAATTATGGAAGAAAAACATTGAGCTTAGCTAGCGAAAAAAGTTGTCTTCTGTAATTTTTCAACCACTTGGGGGAAACTCCAAGTGCACCAAATTTAAAGATACTTCTATTAAGTAAATTATTATAAACAAAATAGGATTGATTCCACATTGGGTTTGTGACAATGATCTTCAAGTATAAGATACTATTTTCAATCTATTAAAATACAAATTTTGTTTCTTTTTTATTGAAATATTCCAAAGTTTAGGCCCCTCTATTTCTGGGACAAGTGTTTGTGTTCTTGGTTCCTCTAGCCCTCCATTTCTAGAGATGTTACACTGATGTAACATCTAGAGATGTCACACTCAGATGTTACACTGGTAAGAACATTGGAAGATGCATCCCTGGGTTTGGTTTTAATCAGTCTTCATTTAGGAAACCTTCTAAAGAGAGAAAACAGGGCTCCTGAATGATAAGGTCATGGCAGGGGGAGAGTTGCTGAATTCTCTTGTCAATACAGCAGAAATTTGTATGTTATTTTTTTCTCTTAAAAAGAAATGAAGGAAATAGTTGTAAGTTAGGTGGTCCATTTCAAAGTTAGAACCACCATTTATGGAATCAAAGGAGAAAAAGACTAAATATCAACTCACTGATAAAACTACATGTTTTGTTCTATATTTGGAAAACCACAAGTTCATAGCATAAGAATTGCAGTGTGACATGTAATTATGGAGGGCTTGCATTTCAGTCAAGAACAGGTTTTTTTTTTCTTAATTATAAATCCTTATGAAATTTGACATAAGGAATATTACAGATATAATATTTAGCTTAAATTTAGTCAATAAAACTTTTTTTGTTAAATCATCATTGATATAAAATAATGACTACCTCTTTTGCTATGAGTCATAGACACTACAATGAATATTTGCTGCTAAATATTACTCAAAAATGTAAGATTTTTTCTTCCTTTTCAAGTAAGTGAACAGAAAAAAACTCCAAGTAGTAAAAGTGTGGTATATATGTAAATTAACATTTTGTTCTAATGAAATATAGAAGCAGCATAAACTTAAAATCTTAGTTATGTTAAGCATTTAAAAGTTTCTGTTTAATGCTTTATTATATTTTAATTCAAAATAGAGATATTTTGAATGCTAGTTTAGCTAATTTTTAGAATATATTAGAATCACAGAACTTTCACTAGGCCTATAATTCATTTGAGTTAACTCTGTCATATAGTTTAATCTGAGGACATTTCTTACCCAAAATATTTGAAAACAAGGTCTTTTTACCTTTTGGTCTTGAACAAATTTTTTTTTTTGTTAGTTTGTTTTCTGGATTCAGCCATGAGAAAATGTGTGACAGTCTATACCAGTGGTAGTTGACCTGCTATGTTAATTACACATCTTGGTTTGGAAAACTAGTTGGCAAGATCCTGTAGCAATGGGTCCAGGATGCGGACTCGGTTAGGAATGAGGTCAGCAACAAGTGAAAAAGGGAACACAGGAAGAACAGGTAAAGGTAGAGAGGAAAACCTCTTGAGCCCTCTTAGCAGCACTCCCTGGCTATTCCTACCTGTCATACACCACATCTATTGCTATCTATCCATATCCATCTGCAACACACCAAAGCCAGGGTGTTTCCCTAGGCCTAATATATTTAAAAGCAAAATGATAAAATTATCCATTGTACATTGTATTTGTGATACATTTAATATTTTATTGTATGCTTCCTTTTGAGACTGCCTTAAATATGAGCTAGATTTGCCTATTTTCTTATTTAAAATGCAATAGCTATGTAAAAATGAATGGTAAACTATGGAGAACTTTAGGAGACTGTTTATTATCCAGTTGGATTGTGTTCACAGAGAAGGAAAGGGAGCCTCTTCCTTATTTTGTATGTATATATATAAAACCCAATGGTTAATTAAATAGTGATATTGTTGGACTCAGATGACACGTTTTGAAAGAATGCCTCAGTCACAACAGACTGAGGTGATGTATGCTTCACACATTCCACACTTGGAACACTTCCGGGTATGAGACACAGGACTTAGCAAAAGTAGACTCAGTGAGACTTGGTGTAGGATGGGTAACACCACTCCTTAATCTGCTGATGACATTGTGGTTAAAAGAAGAAAGGCCTTCCCCTTCTCTCTGGCACTGGTTGAAAGTCTGCAGCATTCCCAACTATTGCTGGCACAGAGTTTGAGGACAAAGGCAGTCTCTAACCTGAGATTCCACTCCTCACAGTGAAGAAGAATATTAAGCAGCCAACTGCCTCAAATTACCCTTGAGAATCTTAGGAAGTAACCATTTAATGGATATTCCATTCTTAAATCTTTATTGGAACAGAACTGCTGTTCCTATAAATATTATTGTTCAGCTTATAGGTGTCACAAGGAAAATGTCATAGCAAAGGGTAAGAATGTTGACTTTACCCTTATATGGTGGAATTGCATATCAGCCAGCATTACTGTGGTTTTACCTGCCATGTTTATGAAGTCATCTGATTCACCTATGATTTTGTAGCTGCTTGGGTCTGTTTTACTTAGTGATATCATCTAATTTATCACCAGTTTGAACAAGTTGTACATATTTACACCACATCTATTGCTATCTACCCCTATCTATCTATCTATCTATCTATCTATCTATCTATCTATCTTTTGTACATCCAAAATATCTCTGTTTAAGAAGCACAGAGCCTTTACATAGTGCTTTAATTGAAATCTAATTAATATTTATAATCAGAGCTAACTACTTCCCTGAGAGATTTAGTAGACAATACTAAAAGTAGGTCACCAGCATCTAAGTCTCCCTTATCCCCTTTTCACAATCCCTGTCAAATCTCTTGGCCATCATTATTTGTAATACAGTGCATTATTTGCTTTGTCTTATTTTCCAGAGCTCTGAATTCCTACTGAAAAGTTCAACGTAAAGCCCAGAAAGAGATATCTTCAGTTATCTTGGCCAGGTCCTTTGTAGCCAACCCAGCTTGGTAATAGAATGGACTTTATTGTTTATTTCAGTGCCATCTGGGTAAATGTTTGCAACTAGCTTCCTGAAAATACAAAAACAATTGATTTGTAGCTTTGAAAATTTTTATCATGTAAATATTTATACCATGACTGACATGGAGCTGCCAATATGAACTGGGAAAAGATGGGCAGTAGTATAGCATTACATAGTGCTTTCACCACACAGATAAAATGGATATAAATAAACTAATACTAATAAATTATTGATGTAAATAAATATGCTCAAGAACATAGAGTAGTGAAATATAGTCAAATAATTAGAAAGCAGTGATGAATTTTGATAGTTTATTACCTTTTAGTTTACCTAGTTTAAAGCTTGTACAATGTAATTTTAAAAATCATGTTTCTGAGTAGCATGTAACAGTTATTTCCTGCAAACTAATTTGGACTGGATCCCACACACCCCTGTTCCATAAAGTCATTGGAGGATGGTTATTCATTATGACTAAGAAAAGAAATAAAAACTGAAAGCCAGAAAAAGTAGTGCAGTTTTAAATCTGGGGGTCGAGCAAATCCAAACTTGGGGAAAGGAGTCCTAAATTCAGAAGGCGTTAAGATTAGGAGACTCGTGAAATTGTGTGTGTTAGTTTCCTATGGTTGCCATAACAACGTACCACAAACTGAATAGCTTAAACCAATAGTAATTTATTGTGTTATAGTTCCAAAGAACAGAAATCGAAAATCAAGGTGTTGGCAGTCCCATTTCACCTTCAAAGCTTCTAGGGGAGGTTCCTTCCTTGCATCTTCCAGCTTCTGATAAGCCAAG